TGCTGCTGCCGATGATGATTGATTGTGAATTATTCCCATCCGTGAATGAGGAGAGAGAGAAACAAATATATATATCACGACGGAAATATTGGGGGGGGTGGGGGGGCTGGGAACTCCTCGTGCCGGGGACTGCAAAGTGCAGCCCTTTAACGGCCAGATGGGGCGAGTGCCGTTTGCGAGTAGCGCATTCGAAGGCGGACACGGCACACGAGGGGGTGGGTGGCCGGCACCACGGCCAGCAGGCAGCGCCTCCCCAGTGCTGATTTACACACTGCACTAGCTACTAATTTGAGGCTGAAATGACCTAGGGGAGGGCCAGTACACGTTGAGATGTTCGTCACTGGCCTCGGGCGTGAGCGGGAATGGAACTCGCGTCGCCGGGCGCTTTACCCTACCTCCCTCCCCTACCTCCCTCTCCTACCTCCCTCCCCTACCTCCCTCCCCTACCTCCCTCCCCTACCTCCCTCCCCTACCTCCCTCCTCCTCCTCCCCCCTCACTTTCCTCTCGCCGTCACCCTCGCGGTGAAGCCCCACTCGCCTCTTCGCCACGACCAAGGGGCGACTTCTATTGCGGCCGGCAAGCAGTGCACGACCGTGTGCGAGCACAGCCCCAGCCCCCACCCACTCCCAGGCCGCCCGTGTGTCGCCCTCGTCGTGTGAACGGAGCCCCGGGGGCCCAAGCTTCCTCCTCCTCCTCGTCGTCGTCGTCGTCATCCCCACTGGGAGCGACGCCTCCGTGCGTGGTGCAAAAAGCGATCGTCGCTCGTAAATCAAAGCGAATGTCCCTCTCGGCTCAGAGCTCGAGAGGGCGCGTGCTGCCACCCTCCCCCCACTCTGTGTGTGTCACAGTGGCAGGGTGTGACACACACTGTGACACACACAGTGGCAGAGTGTGACACACACAGTGGCAGAGTGTGACACACACACTCTGCCACTGTGACACACACAGTGGCAGAGTGTGTCACACACTCTGCCACTGTGACACACACAGTGGCAGAGTGTGACACACACACTCTGCCACTGTGACACACACACACTCTGCCACTGTGACACACACAGTGGCAGAGTGTGACACACACACACTCTGCCACTGTGACACACACAGTGGCAGAGTGTGACACACACACTCTGCCACTGTGACACACAGTGGCAGAGTGTGACACACACACACAGTGGCAGAGTGTGTCACACACTCTGCAACTGTGACACACAGTGGCAGCTGCTGCTGCTACAACTCGCTACTACTAACAGCACTTGCCCCGACAGTCTGTTAGAGGCTAAACGGGGGATCTTTGTCTTTGTGCAGTGGTCTGCGCGACCAATAAGAAGACAAATAATATTTTAAACGGTCCTGGGCCCGCCCGCGCCTAGTTCGGCTCAGCATTAAATGAGCACAGCAGCTGGTTGCCGTGTGTACAACATGAGCACTTCGGAGACAAGGCGGCCGGGCGTGATGTTGACAACAACTAACCAAACTGTTGTTTTTATTGTACCAGGTAAGGCCCCACTTAGCTGTAGAGCTCTTTCTCAGACGCGACCTGGCTACTACTACAAGTGATAGCCCAATGAAGCGGCTTATCATCACGTGGACATTTATAGCACCAGCCAAACACTTCAAACTCAAGTTTCTCAATGTGGAGGGAAAACTCCGGACGACCCGGAGATAGAGACACGCAGACTCCAGATAGGTAGCGGGTCGTCAGGGTCGGGGTCGAACCCACGTCCCCTGTCTACCAGGCGAGGTAGGTAACATCTCACCACCGCGGGTCTCCATAGAAGTCGGTGGCTCTCTGTGTACGTCTATGGATCTGCATTATGGGGTCCTCCGTGGCAAGTCTTTATTGGCGACCGGATTTGAGGGCCATCATCCCACTCGCCGCTCCACCTGAGAACCGGGACTGGACCTCCCACAGAGGAGAGGACACCAGAGGCGCCCGGAGAGAGCCCAGCGCTCACACGACCCGCGGACACCAGAAGCCAAAAGCACTCCCTCATTCGTCGCAATCTCTTTAGTGAGCGGTAACAGCCGCTCCCACGTCCGAGTAAATCTACGTCTCTTCCACGCTTATGTAACAACGACCACAGCAACAGCAGCACCGATGGCGACGGCGCTCCAACCTAGACCATGCATCCACACGCGGTGATCATTCCATCTTCTGATAGTGTGAGAGAGTCTTCTTCCTGCTATGATGCGTCCCGTTTTCATTTTATCTCTATAACGAAGGTGGCAACCCTACGAGCGTGATAAGGGTGTGATGGGAGTGACATTCATGGCAATATTTTCGGGATCCGGACCGGGAAATTGAGACGTGAGTGGTGTGTGGGGTGGGGGGGAAGGGAGGAGGAGGAGGCTGGCTGGTGTACTTATTAGAGCTGTTCCCGCAATGACTACACTAAGGATTCAAAGCGGACACAGGAAAAACACGTGGCGCTTGGAACACATCGAAACCCTGTCGAGCTCTGTCACGAACACGCTGCCTATTTCATTCGGCACATGCCCACTCCCCAAGGCCAAATGCTGTCTTTTCTCGACAGTATTTTATAAACGGATTACGTTTTCAGGGAAAATAAATAAATAAACAAATATCTTCTCTATCCTATTAGAGGCGTGCGGAGGATTAGGAAAGTTGGCCGCGAGGCTCAGCCGACGACGCCGCGCTGCATACCAACGCGGTGTGAGGCGCAGCTCAACATCCACACTCACCTGGCACAGTGACTCACCACGACACTCACCTGCACAGTGACTCACCACGACACTCACTCACCTGCACAATGACTCACCACGACACTCACTCACCTGGCACTGTGTGACTCACCACGACACTCACTCACCTGCACAGTGACTCACCACGACACTCACTCACCTGCACAGTGACTCACCACGACACTCACTCACCTGCACAGTGACTCACCACGACACTCACCTGGCACTGTGTGACTCACCACGACACTCACCTGCACAATGACTCACCACGACACTCACTCACCTGGCACTGTGTGACTCACCACGACACTCACTCACCTGCACAGTGACTCACCACGACACTCACTCACCTGGCACTGTGTGACTCACCACGACACTCAATCGTCTGCACAGTGACTCACCACGACACTCACTCGTCTGCACAATGACTCACCACGACACTCACTCGTCCGCACAGTGACTCACCACTACACTCACTCACCTGCACAATGACTCACCACAACACTCACTCACCTGGCACTGTGTGACTCACCACGACACTCACTCGTCCGCACAGTGACTCACCACGAGTGAACTTTGCCCCTTCTCACGCCCTTTGTGACGGTGGTGGTGGTGACGGTGGTGGTGGTGACGGTGGTGGTGGTGGTGACGGTGGTGCTGGTGGTGACGGTGGTGGTGGTGACGGTGGTGGTGGTGGTGGTGACGGTGGTGGTGGTGGTGGTGACGGTGGTGGTGGTGACGGTGGTGGTGGTGGTGACGGTGGTGGTGGTGACGGTGGTGGTGGTGACGGTGGTGACGGTGGTGGTGACGGTGGTGGTCACGGTGGTGGTGGTGACGGTGGTGGTCACGGTGGTCGTGGTGGTGGTGACGACGGTGGTGGTTGGTGGTGGTGGTGGTCGCGTTCCATTGAGTCGCGAGCGGCGACCAATCCGAGGTGAGAGTCGCGTTGGGCGCGTGCTCAAACCAGGAGAGCATCGAGACTCCTCACTGAGGCTCACGAGGCTCTCAACAATCACTTCTCAGGAGGACCCAGACATGTTTGTGGTTTTACTTTGCCACGGAGGGGGTGCTGGGAGGGGTGTTGCTGCTTCGTGTAATTACCAATCGAATAACTTTCTCGGATGTTGGGTTCGTTGCCAGTCACGTCTCGCGCGTCGCGAGGGAACGGAAGAACTCGCAGGAAACCCCACAGGGACAATCCGACATCGCTCCACACAAAACTTGGTGATGTCCCGTTTTGGGCAGCATTAACCCAATGCCATCCATCTTCTCATCATCATCAACATCCCTCCACACCCATCAACGTCTACCGTCATCCGTCGTTATGATGATCATCATCATCATGATCATCAACCAACATCCATTATCCATGAATCATCATCATAAATCAGTATCTATGAACATCGATTGTCATCGTTATCATCATCATCATCTGGGAGAGGGGGAGGGATCGAGGGGCGGGGTGAGGATGCACATGGGTGGAGGCTGCTGTGTGAAGTGACCGCACAGGCGCTCACACACACGAACAGACAAAAGATCCCGTGTAGCCTTTCGCTAACCGTGGGGTCAAGTGCTGTTGGCGAGCATCGATCAACCGCCCATCGCAGCGTCCTCCACAGAGGCCCATTCTCGACACCGCTGGTAACGCTCATCAGCAAGTCCACACAGATCCACATCCTCCAGCACCACATCTTCTCCAGGACGTGCCTCCCCCATTTTACTCCCCCCCCCCCGTCCTCTATCCGGCCGAAGAAGAAAGGCTGAGAAGCCTGGCAGATCTGCCACCTGTGCCCTCCACCATCATCGCCTCCTACTTTCCCGTGGTATTTTTGGAGGGGGATTGCAACAGATAACACATTGATGTCGTCAAGATTTGACATCCCCCATTCGACTGCTTGAGGAGTAGCCGAGTGGACTTGTTTCGGATCGCCGTCGAATTGTCCGATTGGGGCAGGCCGTTCACGAGACGTCGCAATGCCACAGTGGCAAAGTGGACACTATGCAACACGTGCACACGCATCAACAACAACAACAACAATCGCCATTCGCCACTAAGTGGCAGTGTCGTCACTACGGTGCCTGTGCCAGGCTGCGTGCACTTCAAGGCCACGTGAAATGTCGAACGCCCCCTGGCAGGAGGTCACGCACGCGCTCACACACACACACGCGCTCACACACGCTCACACACACACGCGCTCACACGCGCTCACACACGCTCACACACACACGCGCTCACACACGCGCTCACACACGCTCACACACGCGCTCACACACACACACGTGAGCTCCGCCTTACCAGTGTAGGTCCAGTCCGTCTCCTCTCTGTCGTCTCTCGCCCCGCGTTGCTCCTTGCCGTCCTGTGGCTCCATCGCCGCCCCTGTGGACCACCACGCGCGGACAACCACATTAGCCCTCGCCACCCCCTACAACTGTTACAGACCACAGTGGCACCTACAACTGTTAATAATACTAATACAAACAGACAACAGTTGTACCTACAACTAATACAAACAGACAACAGTTACACCTACAACTGTTACAGACCACAGTGGCACCTACAACTGATACAAACAGACGACAGTTGCAACTACAACTGTCACAAACAGACGACAGTGGCACCTACAACTGTCACAAACAGACAACAGTTGCACCTACAACTGTTACAGACAACAGTTGCACCTACAACTGTCACAAACAGACAACAGTTGCAACTACAACTGTCACAAACAGACGACAGTGGCACCTACAACTGTCACAAACAGACAACAGTTGCACCTACAACTGTTACAGACAACAGTTGCACCTACAACTGTTACAGACAACAGTTGCACCTACAACTGTCACAAACAGACGACAGTTGCACCTACAACTGTTACAGACGACAGTGGCACCTACAACTGTCACAAACAGACGACAGTTGCAACTACAACTGTTACAGACCACAGTGGCACCTACAACTGTTACAGACCACAGTTGCACCTACAACTGTTACAGACAACAGTGGCACCTACAACTGATACAAACAGACCACAGTTACACCTACAACTGATACAAACAGACAACAGTGGCACCTACAACTGTTACAGACGACAGTGGCACCTACAACTAATACAAACAGACAACAGTTGCACCTACAACTGTTACAGACCACAGTGGCACCTACAACTGTCACAAACAGACGACAGTTGCACCTACAACTAATACAAACAGACAACGGTTGCACCTACAACTGTCACAAACAGACAACAGTTGCACCTACAACTGTCACAAACAGACAACAGTTGCACCTACAACTGATACAGACAGACAACAGTTGCACCTACAACTGTCACAAACAGACAACAGTTGCACCTACAACTGTTACAGACGACAGTGGCACCTACAACTGTCACAAACAGACGACAGTTGCACCTACAACTGTTACAGACGATAGTTGCACCTACAACTGATACAAACAGACGTAACAGGATAGCCCCCCTACTGAGCTGCTCTAAAGGAGCTCTTTTTGTTCTCAGAAGCGATCCGGCATGTGTAAGATGACAGACAAAAACCGGGGGAGTCGGAGAAAAATCCACGTGACCACGTGGGGGGGGGGGGGGGGGGGAGACGCAAACTCCAAATATACAGCAGGCGTCAGGGTCGGGGATCGAACCCACGTCCCTCCTGTATACCAGGCGACGGAGTTAACATGTCGCCAAATGTGGCGCCCCTAACCGCTCAATAACACGCAGGTCAAGGGCCAGCTCATCCCACCGCACGTGGTCTGGTAGGAGTACCCCCACAGTTTACACCACCACACGTGATCTGGTAGGAGTACCCCCACAGATTACACCACCACACGTGACCTGGTTAGAGTACCCCCACAGCAGCATCAGCAACATCATTAGCATCAGCAGCAGCATCATCAGCAACAGCATCATGATCAGCAGCAGCATCATCAGCAACATCATCATCAGCAGCAGCAGCATCAGCAGCATCATCAGTCAGATCATCAGCAGCAACATCATCAGCAGCATCAGCATCAGCAGCAGCATCAGGAGCAGCATCAGCATCATCAGCAACATCATCAGCAGCAGCATCAACAGCAGCAGCATCATCAGCAGCAGCATCAGCATGGGCCCCCTGCCCGTCTCTGCTCGCTCAGCTCGCGCATTGTCGTTCCCCGTCTTCGACTCTTTGGGTTCTCGTCAAGGTGGTGGAGGGGGGGAGGGATTCAATCAGTCTACCGTCCCTCCGGGGTGAGTAAAATTAGCACCACTTCGTAGTGAAATCAATAACGGTTTGACATGATGGGTAAACTCGCCCCCGCCAGATGAATGTGGAATTTCCACTTACGGCTCAGGGTTGTAAATCGGAGAGGTGCCCCCCCCTCCCACCTCCACCGCCTAAGGTCCTTACTCATTTCATAAGTGAAATGATGCCGACTTCGCTCCTCCAAAGAATAGCTGCGTGGAATTCTGTAGGAGCGTGGTCAGCCAGGTTGGGTGTTGACTGTTGTGTTGGCCGGCTCTCTGTGTTGTGTTGCATTGTGTTGCTAAGTTGACTAGGTTTCATGGAGAAATTTGAGACTGACGCCATCCAGACTGCCACTCTGCGCCCAACCTTATGGAAGAGGTACGTGGATGACACTTTTGTCATCTGGCCACATGGCCGGACTGCTCTAGACCAATTCTTCGACCACATCAATTCCATACATCCAGCCATCAGATATTTACCATGGAAGTCGAAAAAGATGGCAAGCTACCTTTTTTGGATGTACTAATTAAAAAGAGACCTGATGGTTCACTGAGCCACTCTGTCTACAGGAAAGCTACCCATACGGGTGCTTATCTGAAACCGGATTCCCACCACCATCCATCACAGAAGAATTCTCTCATCAAGACTCTGCACCATAGAGCCCAATGCATATCCGACCAGGAACATATAGCCAGTGTACTCAAGCACGTACACCAAGCTCTTAAGGCTAATGGTTACTCCGACTATACAATCCACAAAGCTATCACTCAAACCATGAAGAAGGACTCTCTTGAGGAACCTTTAAAAACTATCACTTTACCCTACATTGCGGGGATCACAAAAAAGATCTCCAAAATCTTGAATAAACACAAGATCCAGGTCCGTTTCAACACATTACATAAAATCCGTGATCTGGTTTCGTCTGTAAAAGATGTGATTCCGGACATACAGTACCCTGGTGTCTACAAACTAAGTTGCCTCTGTGGTAGTAGTTACATTGGAGAAACCAAACGACATGTCTCAGACCGCATTCGTGAACACAAAGCAGACCTTAAACACAGTAAGACCAACACCTCGGCCATGGCAGATCACTGTTATAATTCAGTAGGCTCACATGACAGTGACTTCTCCAAGACAGAGGTTCTTTGCAAGCCATCTGGCTACCACGAGAGATTCGTTCATGAGGCTATCCACATATACAAACACAGAGACAATTTCAACCGAGAAGATGGATTCTGGCTTAGCAATCATTGGAAGGATTTGATAAACCATTTCGGGTCTTAATTGGTTGTTCACGCTTACGGTGGCTTTCAGACAGCATACATTAAATTTTTCGTCTCCCCCCTCCTCTTTTCCGAACATAGATGGACTCGTCCATCTAAACAAACTGTCAAATCGCTATAAGCTAACGCTTAAAAATAAATAAATAAATAGACAGCACAAACCGCCACTTCTTTCAAATGTTCTTGCCGTTGGTGTTTACACCTGATGATGACTGTTTGTGTTACAGTCGAAACGTCGTGAAAATTGTATTGTTATATATATTTTATTATTTTATTGTTTCCCTTCAACGTGACTTTACCGAAAGAACCAAGAATATATATTTGACTAGGTTTGTTTTTTTCTCTCATTTATTCTTACCTGATGATGGTTGCTTATGTTGCAATCGAAACGTCGTATTCTATTATTATTCGATTTTATTTTCTACGTGACTTTACCGAAAGAACCAAAGTGTGTTGACTTAGTATTTATCTTTCACTTTGACTGGGCGGAATTGGCGGTGAACACGTGGCATGTGTCGTCGTCGTCATCGTTGTTGTTGTTATTGTTGTTATTGTTGTTGTTATTGTTGTTGTTATTGTTGTTATTGTTGTTGTTATTGTTGTTATTGTTGTTATTGTTGTTGTTGTTATTGTTGTTGTTATTGTTGTTGTTATTGTTGTTATTGTTGTTGTTATTGTTGTTGTTATTGGCCACGTGTTTGCGGCCACTGGAGTCACTGATGCGAGACGAGCGAGCAGCAGCTGCAGCTACAGCTGATCATGAAAGAGGCGCGAGCGTCAAGCGGCGTGCGGCCAGCGAGAGGCCGCACTCCCATCACAGGCGCAGCGGGCGAGCTACGCCGCCAATGTCGCGATCGCAGCGGCGGTGAACAGCGGCAGCAGCACTGCTACCACCACCACCACCAGCACTACTACCACCAGCACTGCTACCACCACCAGCACTACCACCACCACCAGCACTGCCACCACCACCAGCACTACCACCACCACCAGCACTGCTACCACCACCACCAGCACTACCACCACCACCAGCACTGCTACCACCACCACCAGCACTACCACCACCACCAGCACTGCTACCACCACCACCAGCACTGCTACCACCACCACCAGCACTGCTACCACCACCACCAGCACTGCTACCACTACCACCAGCAGCACTGCTACCACTACCACCAGCACTACCACCACCAGCACTGCTACCACCACCAGCACTGCTACCACTACCACCACCACCAGCACTACCACCACCAGCACTACCACCACCACTACCACCAGCACTACCACCACCACCAGCACTACCACCACCACCAGCACTGCCACTACCACCAGCACTGCCACCACCAGCACTCCCACCACCACAACCAGCACTACCACCACCACCAGCACTGCCACCACCACCACCAGCACTGCCACCACCACCACCAGCACTGCCACCACCACCACCAGCACTACCACCACCAGCACTGCCACCACCACCAGCACTACCACCACCACCAGCACTGCTACCACCACCACCAGCACTGCCACCACCAGCACTACCACCGCCACCAGCACTACCACCACCGCCACCAGCACTATCACTACCGCCACCAGCACTATCACTACCGCCACCAGAACTACCACCACCACCAGCACTACCACCAGCACCCCTCTCGGCCAGGAAGAGACGCGACACACGGAGAGGTGACCTCTGACGAGACAAAGTCCCCCCGTGGAGCCTTCAACTGGTTGGTACACGAGGGAGGGAGTGGGTGGTCATGGACCACCTTCGTCTCCCCGTGTGTGAGGCGCAGGAACCGCTCCAGATAGGCGCTGTCACTGCTGTTGGTCGTTATCGGGTTCGTAGAGCAGTGCG